GGTATCATGATTACCTGAGAACGGAGCTCAAAAGTGTGGGATCATTTTAAGAAAAACCTGTGTAATATCTGCAGAGCAGAACTTGCCTTCCACAGCAATTATTTTTAGTTAGCATATAGCTAAAATCTAACCATGGTTATATAATAGCAGCTGCATTCTGACGTGATAAGCTGTATGTTTTATATTCAATTAACGTATGATCCGATTAGTCGACTAATCAAAAAAAATAATCGGTGATTAATTGATTATAAAAATAATTTGTGGCAGCCCTGTATGTGACTGAAAAGAAAAAGTAACGAAGAATTTAGAAAAATTGAGTTTCTGTCTGATGTGCTGTTAGTTTATTTACCATTGTTTTTTAATATGGACATTTAATAAAGATACATTTACAATTAAAATATGTGAGATGAGTACACCTTCACTAATTTTCAAACTGTATTGCATTTTGGACTTGATAATTTGTATTTTGTTATTTTTCTTAGTTGCATTTTGTATTCTATTTCCACTTAAAAATTGACTTACGGTATGTTGGTGCTAATAATTTGAGTTGTAGTGCTTAAGCTAACATTTTAGTTGACCTCTAGATCATTTTGTCTCAATATTCAGGTCAATAAATTATCAATAATATATACACACTACAGGAGAAGCAGCAGTTGTAAAGTTGACCATAATTTCTTGATAAGGTAGAACTGAAAATATTTCTTTCTGTTGAAATTCTTCCAGAGCTATTAAGTGTTGGAACCTTGAAAAAATATTTTGGTGCATTTTGTACATTATAAACTGGGTCAAAACTTCCTGTTCCACATCCAGGTATTGTTTGAGTGCAACAAAATTTAAAAGGGGGTACAAAAAAAAAGATCACCTTTCAGTAAATTGAGTACTAAATTTGGCTTTTTTTTTAAAAAATCTGCATTGTTTGCTTCACATTAGTTAATTTAACATGGTGGGTCCTTTAACCTCAAAGTACAAATATATATCTGAAAACCCTTGGTACAAAAATCTGGTCCATTCTCTTTTTCTCCACGCATTATTAACGTTTAAAATTGTATTATGGCAGTTCTTATAAAACTGACATTAACTTACTTTTCATCGTTTAAATTTAATTTTTCTATGAGATTCCTACTTTTTTTTTTTTTTTTTACGTTTACTTTTTTATACTTAAATACATCTTTGATCAGGTTACTTACCTTTTTTATTTGTATTGCATAAGTTTGAAACTCCCTTAATGCACTTCTTATAAGTCTAATCTTGTGCTTAGCACAACAAAATGACCTACTTACTAACACAGTAACAGTATTAATTTTTCTTGTTGTTTGTGTTGAAATGTTAAGGTACGTGGGGAATCTATCCCGGGACGTGACAGAGGCCCTCATCTTGGAGTTGTTTAGCCAGATCGGACCATGTAAAAGCTGTAAAATGATAGTAGATGTGAGTTTCTTTTTTATGTCCACTTGATGTTGCTACAATTTTACAGCCACTGCCAGACAATCTGGGTATTTTCATATTGTAGTTGAATGATGGTGTAGTTAAAGCCACGATGAGTTAAACTTGTCTCTTTTGTCCACTACAGACAGCAGGTCATGATCCGTACTGCTTTGTGGAGTTCTATGAGCATAGACATGCCACTGCCACAATTGCAGCCATGAATGGTCGGAAAATACTGGGTAAGGTAAGCTATCATATCTCCTGGGTGAGTCATCACAGGCAAGGCTGGGTGGGCACTGGGCCGAGTTAAAAATGGAGCAACTGGTGAAACTTGTCTTGAAATTTGTTTTGCTTTCCTTTTCCTGCTCCACTTGTTTTGTTTATTTCCCCTGCGTGCATCATTCCACAGAATAAATGTGTAGGGTTGAGCGCCATACTTATTTCACTGCTGTGTAGTTTCAGAAACTTGAAGTGGTAAAAACTAGATTAACAATTAGAGCTTTTAGTTTTGCCCCGAATTGTTCCTCCCAAGTTTGTCTGCTTTAATAGATGACTAAATGTTTTGTAAAAATTTCTGAAGTTCATGACTTTGTCAATATTTGTTTATTCTAAGATAAGGTAAGAGTTGGGATTAAACTCTTCTATACTTCTATTTATTTTTTTTTAGAATGCTCACAAACTTAAAAACCTGCCTAGCCTAATTTCATGAATATCTTCACTGATGAGGTTGTCAGAAACTCTTTTATTTGACCAGATTTGAACTCCGGCTTCAGAGTTGTGAAATAATTACTTTTGAATTAATCTCTAGTAGAGATCGACCGATACAGGTTTTTGAAGGCCGATACCGATACCGATTTTTTAAAAATCAGTCTAACCGATACGCCGATACGA